CTGCTCTCTAATAGGTCATTCAACTCACTCTGTGTGATCTCAAAATCCTTTCTTTCAGCACTGCATCCTGCACAGATATCAAGGGAAAAGGGTGAAACCAGGAATCAACAAGCACCGATGTGTACGAGATACGTAATGTGCAGGAACAAGACCCTACGTGAACAGCCAGGGGGCACGTCTGGAATTCCCTTTGCCTTGCAAGCAAATGGAAATAACGTGGATAAGCGAGTGGCAAAGGGGCTGGAGCGCAGTGGACACAGCACTGCGGCATCAAACCGATGTGGTCTCTGTTCCTGAAAGGCTGTGGGCTTTTTCTGTGTCAGAAGAGATCGTATCCACCTGGATGAATACAGATAACTGGCCTCTGAACTATACAGAAATATAAAGGATTTGTTCAGTTTTTCAGACTCTGCAGTGATAGTTGTTCTAGAAATCCCAAAAACGTTCCTGAGCATTCTCAGAATGCAGAGTTTAGAAGTTTTTCTGCTGATGATAACCAGCCTTACCTCAAGATTAAAAGAAGAAAAAGGAAGAGAGACCATTTGAATTAAGAAGTTTAAAAATTGAGTTGAAATGACCTACAGAGTGCACCTCTCATCACTCAGGGGTAAGGTATCCTGAGCGCTGTGTTCAAACACTGCTCTGGGCAAAGATTTTTAGACTTTTTAGGTCCTTTGGAAATGGTAGATGGAGCCCCAGAAACCACTGCAAAGGCCACTGCTATGGCTCCAGAGTCCTCGTGATGGGTTCAGACAGACGGTGCAGCAACCACAGCAGTGCTGACGGCAGCACCACGGCCGCTGACCCAAGCAATGGCTTTGGAAAGGAAGCAGGGGGGTGTTTGAGCTGCTCTTCTGCAGGAAATATGGACAGAAAACAGACAGAGACCTCAACAACTCCCGTCCCTGCCCTCTCCAGGCCAGACTGTGGAGAGCAAATGGTTCTCATTTTCCACTGTGTCCATTCTAATTCTGGGAGGGAGATTCAGGCAGGGGATCCCAGCCAGGAGCATCCCCCTGGCTCCTTCCATCTCCTGCACAGCACGAGGTGCCTCAGCATCCTGAGGTCCCACCTCCTCGAGAAGGTCTCCGTCGCACCACGGGACGCTGTCCAACAACCCAGGGACCGCTACGCTTCCAACGGCCGCAAGAGGAAGACTGTGTATTAAAGGCAGTGTATTCAAAAGGGAAGAAGACTTTCCAATGGAAAAAACTCAGCGTCCTCACAAAACAAAGTCCAAAAGGCACAAACCGGTGAACTAATTGGAGCAGGTTACGAGGGTTAATCGGAAAGGTTCCTGCGAGATTCAAAGAAAGGGTTTCACTAGCAACACAAGTTTGTGAGGCAGCGTTTGGAAGAGCCTCAACCTGTACAGGGGGAGCAAGAGAGAGGCGGCTCGAGGGGGCCGTGATGCACCACGGTCCTTCAGACAGCACATGCCAAATTTGCCTTATGTCTTTTTCCTGCAAGCTTATCTGCTAGCTTCCTAACTAACACTGTTCACACAGACACAGATCTACAAAGGGTTATAAATACATGTATTTATATATATTCACACATTTTAGTCCCTGTAATAAAGCTCTGCTCCTTTCTCTTCTGTGCTGCTGGCACTGGTGGCTGTTCCCAGGTGTAATTGTGTCTACACCAGTCCTCCAGAGATCGCAACGGAAAGCGGATTACTACGGAAAGGAGAAGCGGTTGGCTCAGCTCAGCCCCATAATTACTATATACAGAAAAGAAACCCCTTAGACACAGAGCCCCATCCTCCCTGCAGCTCCCACACCAGTTCTGCTCATCTTGGAGCCTCCGCGGCTCAACCAGCGCAATTCAGATTAACGTGAGCACTGTCCAGACGTTTACATTTGTAGGCAACAAACAGCACGCGGCATGCAACGGTGGTGTTACAGGAGTTAAAACAACCGATGGCTTTAATGTTAGAGGTGTGCAGTGATGTGGAAAAGTCACCATGCTAACAGAGGAGACGTGCCTAACTGCAGCTTACTCCATTCCTGCGACCTACGCAAACATGCGTCAGTTAGTTCAACACAAAGGAAAAAACACACATCTGAAGTGCACCGAGACCACCGGGTTCAGAAAAATGATTCCTCTACGTGTACAATAAATATTGCCTTGCAATGGGTTTTCTCCTATAACACGATGTATTTTCCAGGAAACAAGAAGAGGGGTGCGAGGGGGAAGCTGCGATGCTTTGCAAAGGGCTTCCCCCACCCAGAAAACAAGAAGCCGCCCATCCCTGTCTCTACGTTAACGCTAACAGCAGCACTGAGAATCAACACTTTTTATTTAAATGCCAGTCTCAGTTTCCTAGAAAAGGAGTGGTTATGGATTACATTCAGCGGGTTTTTGGATCAGCATCACACGTTCTTCAGCGTGTGAACACCTCACATTTAAAACAGGCTTAAAAGCAAGTTTTCAGCAATTCCTACATGAACTACAGGGGCTGGAGAAGCAAAAGTCTCCTCTCAAGTATTTACATCCCCCGTCTGCCCTCTTACAGCAAATCAGGAGCACGCTTCAGCCAATTTGCTTTTGCTAGGAAATGCAGAGAGGACCTGGCAATCCATGACCACTCCTGCCAGGTCCCGGATCATCACAGCTACACGACGACATTAACGCGACGGTCGCAGGGTGTCCCTCCCCGGGACAGCGAACTACGGAGAGCAAACACCAGGACAAGGAAGATGCAGCAGAGGCTACGGCCAAGAAATTCGGGAGCTTTGGTCTTGAGGTTTCAACATGACCCTGTCGCCACTCAGAGGAAGAGCAGCCACCACACAGTCAGTGCTACCACCAGGAGAAAGGACATCATAAAGGGGACGCGTGGAGAAGGAAAAACGCTAGAGTACAGCTGACACTTTCTGAGCGATTTCTGCTCCTCAGGAATTGGGATAGAAACCTTTGGCAGAGTTTCTCCGCTTGCTTGCCGGGGAAAGGCTGTCTCAGTAGGTATCTCCTGCTTTTTTAGTGTCTCTTCATCCTGTACTAACAGAGGACGTTCCCGTGTCTGCTTTCGTGGTAGGAGATCAAGAAAGACAGAGAGAGATGAACAAAAATGACAGATGGAAAGTGCCCAAAGTGACACTTGGAGGTGTGCAAAGAGTTAGGACAGCCTTCCTCTCAACGGGGAAATAAACTGCCCCGAGAGCAGAGCCACACCAGGTTAGAGCTACAAAACCCATTCCTCTCAGCAGAGCTCATGAACATCTGGATCAGACTGACGTGTGTTTGATACGAACATCTGGATCATGATCACACGTTTTGTCGTGAACATCTGGATCATGATCACATGTTTTGTCATGAACATCTGGATCAAACTCATGCGTGTGTGTCGTGAACATCTGGATCATGATCACATGTTTTGTCATGAACATCTGGATCAGACTCGTGCGTGTTTGTCGTGAACATCTGGATCATGATCACACGTTTTGTCGTGAACATCTGGATCAGACTCACACGTGTGTGTCATGAACATCTGGGTCACGATCACGCGCCTTTTGCACCTGCCCTCCCAGCAAAGCGTGCGCTCAAAACCTACTGAAGTGTTTTGGAATGGGAATACGGTTGAGGAAAAAAAGCTTTGAGGCATTAGAAATAGAAATGGTGTCGTACAAAATGTGGTCTCTGACAGCTTCCTATTCTACAGTGCCCCTAAAAAACGGCGTTTGTTAAACACCAGTGAACATCCAGACTGCCGTGCGGATACAAAACGCTGTTTCAAAGTTGGATGACAGTATCAAAATTTTGTTTGTTTTTCAAAATTCTACCGGAACAAGTGAAAAACGGTTACGTCTTAGAAACCCCGAGCGTGGAACAGGCAGGATGGCAGTGGGAGCATTGCAAACTCCTTAAATTTTCCTCCACGTTTTCGCACTTCTGTTTCTGGACTCTAAAGAACGTAAAAAACCCAGAATGAGTAAATCACCACTGAGGATCATGCAAGGGCTCTGGTGCTTTTGTTGAAGAAAGAAAAGGTCGTGGGTGATGCTGCTGATCAGGAACTCTCCATCCCTTCATTTTGCCAAAGCTGGTCAAGCCCGATCTAGGAGAGGAAAAATTTGGCTCTAAGCTCTCTCAGTTGCGCTAACCTCCTCTGATCAGTGCGGTATTTTGGGACCGGTTCTTTGCACACCCCTAAGTGATGAGTACTGGGGAGAAAGTAGCTGGGAGACTGGGCAGCAAAAGAAAAATATAAAACGCAAGAGTAACATGGTCATTAAAACAAAAACAAACAGGAAGAAAGACAACATAAAAAGAACAGGGTACAGTTAAACTTTCAGAATTGCTTTTCTCTCCGAATACACGGTCATATCTTTCATGCAGCTTTTTCGAACCAGCCATGCACCAACAATAAGCAAAATCGAAAGCTGCAAAAGCTGCAGCAGTGCAAAACGTCTCTCGGTGGGAGTCATGAAACTACTTCACGTAGCCAAAAGAAAAAAGGTTATCCAGCAGCTGCTGTTGAGTTTTTGCTCGGTGCCATTGCAATAGCAAAAGTCTGGTTCAGAAGCACATATCAGAGCAGCAGCTTTACCTCAAGCCCACCAACCTGTCTCTCAGAAGATAGCACAGTGACTTTCTTGACCTGGACACACAAAGCGTGTTAAGGTTCAGTTGTCTTGCAATAAAACATGAAGGAACAGCAGAAAAGCAGCCCCTGGTAGAATCCCCCTTGGCCACCAAAGAGGGAAGATACCACCATGAACGGGAGCTTTCCATCCTTAAACACGTGCAGGTGAAGGAAAGCTCCCTCCCCGGGAGGTGCCCAGTGAAGATGCATTTCTGGGAGTTCACAGCAGAACGTGTCCACCTCTACCTCAGAGCAAAGCCACTCGAGAGGATCAGATCCACAGGGAACGTCCAGAAATGCAAATCCAGCGCTGGCACCGACCCTCACGTCGCCGTGGACCACTGCAGCCCACAGCACCCAGTTATCGTGAACAGCACTTCCCCCCCAGACCCCACAATGCGGTCACCATGCAAGAAATTCTTTGTAATAACCAAAAACATAACTCATGGATTGGAGCTGCAGGGGTTGAGAGCCCCTGCTCTGTCCCACCCGCACATCCAGGAATCGCTTGGCATCGCTCTGCTGCCCAAATTCCTGCCCAGTTTACACTGAGACTCGGTGACCAAAGAGGAAAACCCATCCCTGTGTTCAACTGGGTAATTCCAGGGGTAATGACCAACCCTCATTAGTTCATTTGGGGGGTTTTGTTATTGTAGTGGGGGGAAAAAAGCCCTTTAATTGTCATGGCTTTTTTCTATCCTTCGAGAATCCTTGGCCATTAAAACCCCTTGTATCTGGTACAACAACTCCCCCCCCCGCTGCAAGATTATTTCTGTTTAAAAGTATCTCCTTTGCAAAGGTTTGAAGATGAAATGGAAGTTTATCTGCAGTGCTGTGGGCAGGAAGGGAGAAGCTGGGCTTAAACCAGGAGAGAGCCTACAGCTGCTGTCACTGCAGCCAGGGTGCAATTTTTCAGTTGTAATGAAAAATCACATTTAATATTTAAGAGACTGATCACCACAGGCTCCAACTACAGTTTTACTCACAAGCTTCAAATCGGAGCCAGGTAACACCAATATCACACAGAGCAGCTGCCTGGTATCCAAGAAGAAACCAGTTGGCACACAGACCTCTGCTGCTGCAACCGGGTTTCTTTGGAAAATTACCTTTATTAGGACATTAGCAGGGAGACCGTGAATGTGTGTGGCTACTAAGACACAGACTCTGCTCCCATCAGGTAGGAACAGCCCTGCTGGAGCCACCTGAGGCGTCTTCTGGAAGCCTCCACAGCACCTGCAGATCCTAATGCAAGACTAAACCCAATGACAAACCGGATTAACTGCTGAATAAAGTGACTTTTGAAAATGGATACCATCCTACGGCTTCTCCACTGGGTTACCTGCAATATTATCTCTGAAGTAATTCCCTTCAATTGAGGTGTTTGCGGTACTCGGGAGTTTTCTCCTACATTTTGGGGAGACCTATTCCCTGGCACCAGGAATAAGGCAGTCCCCAAAACAGCCACGTGAAGTATCCCCTAGCATCACTAATGAAAGCAACACCAGGAAAAGCAGCATCAAAACCCAGTGAGGAATTCCTACATTCTTTCCTACCCCACATTTTTATGATACTACAACTAAAGCACCAATTCTCTCAGAGACCATTAGACACATTAAATATCAATATAACCAAAAACTAAGGGGTGCTGAGGCTCAATCCTCGGTTGCAAAGCTGTCTCTTGGAAATAGGGCCACTCTTAGCACACCACGCGCCCCCGAGGTACTCACTCCATCCGCTCCCGTGGGGATCTGCCCGTTGACGTTGAGGGTTCGGAAAGGGGAGTGAGTGGACAAGCGTTTGTCCCACTCGCTCGGCCGAGGCTCCGGGACGGACTCCATGAAGTTCTTCTTCAGCTCGCTGATGTTGGCGTGATGCTTCTTGATTTCCTCCTGGGTCTTATCTAGATCCTATCGGCAAGAGGACGGGACAGATGAAGAGACACGGAGGTGACGCCGGCGATGGCGCACGCTGCCGCATAGCAAAGCTGCGCTCAGCAGAGCGGGGCCGACCTCCATCAGCTGCGCTCGCACTGCACACGCGAGGGAACGGCCTCGCTGCCCTTCCCTCTCCTATTAATTGGGATCAATTGGCACCGAGTGGGGTCTCCTCCAACTGGGACGGGCCTGGTCCATCTCCAACTACACCAGAAGTGATGGCAGCTCAGGTCCATCTCACGGCTTTTCCCCCTGTGGGATTTTAACTTGCACGACTATGTTTGGGTTATTTAAATTTAATGCCTTTAAATCGGGTGGGTTTGCTTTCTTTTCCCTCTGCTAGCCTGAATGTTCACAACTACAAATGCAGTTAATGTTTAAGAAAATATCTTCTCAATTTTATTTATTCTCTTCATACCTAGGAATTATCTTTGGTCCCAGAATACCCCCTTTAAACTCCTTTCCCCCCCTCTCATCTCATCCCTCCAGGAGCTACCACAGGAGGTTTTAGACTTGTGAAATGAAGATGAGATGGCAGCCCTTTAAAAAGAAATCAAAACTGAGAATTTATTTACTTTACTTTATCAATCGAGAAACTCCTGCTAAAATCCTTCATCTGGAAAAAGCCAGATTTCTACTCTGCGGTGCCAGTTTACAGCATCAACGCACAGACTTCAAGGCAAGGCAGCTCTTTTCAACTTTTCTGTTTAAAAATAGCTTTTCCTTGCAAGCAAAAGAGAGTTTGTTGAAAACAAAGCTTTCACATCATAAAAGAGGCTTAAGCCAAACAACAACTCTTCTGGACAGTGCCAAAAAGCAGCAAGCCTCACCCGTTAAAAAGAGGGGAATTAAGGTCAGCAAAAGCATCACTGGGAAATGTCCTTATTTTTGTGCTTTTAGTCGGTATTGTCCCTATTTCTGTGCTTGGAGTTGGTACTCGGCCCATGGATTTCAGAAGATGGGAGAGCAAATGCATCCCTAAAGGGGGCTGTGTACGTCCCCAAATATCAGTGTCCCTGCAGCTTTCCCAGGACACATCGCCCCGAATGCCTCATTTACAACATTTGCTCCTTTTGGCACAGTTCTGAGGGGGGAAAGAGCAGTTTTGGCATCCGTCCTTGATGAACGCACAAGGCGAGGGCCCGCTAGTTAGAATCAAAAATGAAAAGCACAAATAAATCTGCGAATAAAGCCCTGCCCGGGTCCAGGAGCAGAGCAAAGACCCCCTTGGCTGCCCCCCACTGTGGCAGAGCTGCTCCTGGGGGGGTTTGCGGGGTCTTGGAAGCCTCTTGAGGACCACACTTGCTAAGCCTGAACGCTGCTTCTCCTGGTTTTGCCCCTTTTTTTGTGGAGCATTAAAGGGCTTTTGCTAAAATCAAGCGGCAGCTTCGGGAGCGCGAGGTCTGCTGGAAAAATCGTCCGATCTGCCAAATGCGCGGAGTTAATAAAAAATAAAGGGAATAAAGGGGGTGAGCCGCTGGGGTCAGCCCTTTTCTAGGGGAGGGCTGGAGCACCTGCAACAGAACCGGCGGGGAGGGCAGCGGAAAGGGAAGGGGCTCGCACTGACAGGAAAAAGGGGTTTAGGAGCAATGAAAAAAGCTCTTTTTGGGGTTGGGGAGATGGAGCTGCTGGAGTTGGGTGAAGAAAGCGCCAGGCACCGTCTTCGCCGAACCCTGCCCGTTGTGCTGCAGACCCTTCGCTCGCGGCCGAAAGCTCCACGTTGTAGCGGTCAAAAACCAAAACTTAATCAAAAAACACCCCAAAGCTGCAAAACTTTCCAAACTGCGATTAGGAGAAGGCAGTTAGTACACTTCAACTTCCAGGAGGTACCAACAGGGAAACCCTACCAGCTGCTGGTGCTGCGAGGAGAAACACGTAACACAGGAACAGAGTATCAGAAGCCACAAAACGTCTTCCATTACACAGTGTAATTCAAAATAATTAAAATATATGATTGGCATGGTCTGTTCTGAGACCGTGTTTGGGCAAATCCAGTAAGGGGCTCCCAAAGCCAAAGGGTGCAGCTGGATGTGGGGTGTGCAATGGCTTCTTGGCTGCTCGTGAGCCACCCGTGAGCATCAAAAGTCCCCGCGTCAGCTCCAAGGGGACCTGGCAACGATGCAGGATGCAGCCCAGGGGGTGTTAAAGATGCTGCGAGGCCAAAAAGCACTGGGAGGGGGATTGCGATGCTGCGAGCATCGCTGCAATGGCAGCAGCGACGTCCGAAAGTCTGAGCGTGGACGTCACGATGGCCCAAACGCCACTGAGGCGACAATTTCACCTGCAGCTTATCCTGGGTTTTGCATTTCCACAGGCTGCCGCTTTTCCCTTAGGAAAATAATTTAATTTAATATCTCTTTCAGCAGGTCCAAGAGCAGACCTGAGCACACAGCTCTGCCAATCATATATTTTGGGTAAAGTATGAGAGAATGAAAGTCAGAAGAGGCAGAAGGAAGGATGCCTGCACATCGGCATGTTTACTGTCACCATGCAAAAGCGTATTTAAAAAAGAACACCAACCCAAAACAGGTCTTTCATGCAACAGCATGCAAAAACAAAGGCAGCAGCAGAAGAGGAAGAAAAAAGTTCAGCGCAGATGCAGAAGGTCTAGGCAAACGCAACTGAAAAAAGCTTCAAGTTCATACAAACCTCCAACATTAAATTGCTATGCCTGATATAAATGTTTTCACCATCTAGCCTCTTTGATCTTTTCTGTGAAAATGAAAGGAAAAGGGGAAACAAAAACAAAAAAAAACAAACAAACAAAAAAAAAAGCACAAAAAATTAAAATGTTGTTCTGGCGGGATCGACAAATTGGCAAATCAAAGAAGTTACCAGGGCTGGGAGTGCAGCGCTGCGCCAGCGTGGGGGGGACGGCCGGGGGACGGCCACCTCCGGGCAATGGGGGACCTTGCTGATGGAGAATGGGGATGCAATGAGGGCTTTAAAGAGACAGCTCCCAGGGCCTCCTTGATTTCACCTTCACTGGCATCGCTCGCACACAGACGTTTAGCGGCTTTCTGTGCAAGCCTTGCAATGACACAGCTCCGTATTCCTGCCCACCCCGGTGAACGAGGCCGTGCTACCTGGTGTAACTTTTACAGAGCCTCAATGCACACGATGCCTTAACCACCCTTCCCGTCTTGGATACGTCCCCTGTTACTTAATCAATACGAAAACCCCATTATACTTCTTTTTTTGCTGCATTTCCTGGAATGCACGCTACAGTTTTCTTTGGTTTCTACCAGAATTTGTTACAGAGAAGCAGAGAGAAATTTTGTACATCAAACCAAGCGTGGTTCTCTCTAACATTCAACATGCAGAATTTTAGCATGGGACAAAAAACGCTATTGATTTTAAAATCAAACATTTGACGGTTGCAGTTTAAAAGAACCCCTAAAAACCCAGTGAAAACAGATGAAGAAATTGGAGCACTGTCTTTTTAAACAGGTTACGGACGCATGGATGATATGGCAAATTTGTTTGGTGAGAGTGTAAAATGGCTAACCTTCCTCATTCTTATCAGCTCTTCCTCTTTTTCTGCAGGCTGCTGCTGTGGGGCAGTGATAAAAAAAAAAAACAAGAAGTTGTTGGTTCATTTAACTGTGTCGAACCTCACTGTTTAAGCTTAAAAATAGATATATATGTGAGCAACCTAACTGAATTATTAGCACAAACCTGGGGCTGGTCACCATTCGTGGTGGGTAATGTGACCTCAATGTGCGTTTTCCTCACCTACATTTAAGAAATAAATTGGTAAAAACATTTCTTGTTAGTAGACTTGTTTCAGGAGAACATTTAGTTTCAAAACGCAGCTGCATCAAGTTGGTTTTGAAATGCTGGGTGAACATGCAAAAACCAACATGCAGCCCCTCCGGAAAGAGTTAATGACACCACAGCTCTCGTTAGTTCGTAGCACATTTACAATAATTCCTTCAGCTTGAGAATTATTTGCATTTGAAGACGTTTCCCGCTCGCATTAGCGTGGCCAGGCAGTGTTTGCAATTTTCCTTCGCAGCCGGATCTCCCAGGGAAATCCTTACCAAAAGCAACATGCTCGAGTGAACCTTCTCCAAACCAGACCATCCGTTATGCACAGGTATTACGTTCACAGGGTCAGTAAGAAGAGACCTAGCGGCAGAACCAAGCCTAACATCACAAACTCAGGTCTTTTCTGCCCGTAAGTAGAGAGCCAAGATTGTCTTAACACTTGAAGGGAAGTATTTTAGGGAAACTGGATTGCCAAATCCGCTGAAGGCAAAAGCATCGGGGGTGTTAAAAGAAGTGATGCAGCTATATTTGAGAAACAGGGTAAATTTGGCACGTTTGAATCCACAATTTCCTCCTACATCTACATCTAAAGGAAAAAAAAATGCAGTGTTTAAGTATATAGGAAGAAAACCTGTAATAAGGGAGATGGGATGAATAACATTTCCTCATTCTCAGTTTAACGCTGTGCCGTGCACCGCAGGAGCGACGTGGCACGACGCACGCTCCAAGGGCCATCCTGAACACCTCTTCGGAGTTCTCACTTCAAAATTACAGGTCACACACACCACGATTTTCCTTCCTTCACCTTCATCTCCCAACCTCAATTAACAGTGACGTCCCCTGGCGTTAAGTCAGACAAGACCCACTGCGTGACACGTTACAGCAAAACATGGCTCCAGGAATGCTGAGAACAGCTGAAATATTTGGAGTAAAGTGAAATATAGAAGTAGTGGAGCGATGTGACAATTGGATGTGAAGGCATACGCCTCTGCTGCAGCATTGGGCTGTTTCAGTCAATAAGATTTGCAGAATATTAAGGACACTGTCACGTGAACAACAATTTTTTACATTATTATCACTCATGAGAACAATACAGGCAGATCAACATCAGCAGAGGTCTCATTTGTAGAAAGCTCAAATAATGTTAAATCAGTAATTTTAAATAACGTTTAAAAACAAACCCCAAAGTTGTAGCCCTGTTTGCACATACACATGAACCGCTCTCCCAGAGAAAGCCCATCAACGTCAAAAACATCTGCACTCAGACGCGGGGCCGCGGAGCAGATCCCTATCACAATTTCACTGGAACTGCTCCCGCTGTCATACCAGGAATCAGTGCAGCCAGCCCAGCGAGGGGTGAGCCCTGAATTCACCATGAACTGCTGTGCAACCCTCGCCAGCTTTTCGGATGCCGTATCAGTGAGCTGCATTTACTTGGACTGCAACCACCAAAACCCAACCACCCTGGACCTCCTCCTTCCTCGCACCCTGGGATCTCCCTGGGACCTGGACCCCCATTTCTCCCTCCCACCCGATCCCCGGGTAAGGAATCAACCCCTCGCTGCCCGGGAGGGGAAGGGGCACAGAGTGGGTGCTCCAGGGCAGCCTCCAGAGCCGATGCTGGACTGCAGCACCAGCGCAGCCTCTTCCATAGCAGCTCCATGCTCACGTACCTTGGTTGTATCCACCGGCTGCGGCTTGGCTTTCTCCACCAGGATTTCTTCACGCCTCGCCACTGGTTTCGCAGGTTCCTTTTCCACTTTCGAGACAGAGACCTTGTCCTTCGGGTCGGGCTTAGCTGGGCCTGGTTCTGCAGCGTGGCTCTGAGCGATGGCCGGGGCGGAGGTGGGACGGGGGCTCCTCTCCGGGGTTATCACGGCCACCGCTGGGGATGGGGAGAGAAGACAGGGACACGGTTCAGAGCGGGGAGCGTTCCCAAAGTGCCAGGCAAAGCCTTTCCAAATTACAGTGCTGTCATTTCAAAAAGAAAGGGAGGAGGGAGGAAAAAAAGCTAAAGGAAATAAAGATGTTGAGCGAAGCAGCTTGTGCGTTTAGTACGGGAAAGTTGAGATTATTTTCCTTATGGTTTAAATAAAATAAAATCAAACCCCAAAACAGATGGTTTACAAAAAGCAAGCTTGCACTCTGCAGAGAAGCCACACCAGAAAGGCAAATCTGGTTTTGACGCTGTGCCCTCCGTTTCTGGGTCCTTCGCACACAACAGACACAGACGTCCACCCCAGAGCAGCCGAGGAAACACAAACACTCAGAGCTGAGGTGCGCTCCTCACTCACTGGCATCTCCTCAACCCAAACCAGATGCTTGTGGAAGGGCAACACAGGCTTTCCTCCATCTCCCCAATCTTTTCAGCAATTCAGACCAAAGAAATAACCAACGAGCATTGCTCTGTAAAACTTTACAGCATCCCCAGGTGGGTTTCAAAGCAGGCTGGGCTGTGTGGCCGATGGGTATCTCCTGCTGCTGCTGCTGTGAGAAGATACCCGGCATCTCCAGATCGGTGACAGTGCAGGAATGAACAGCGTGCTGCCCAAAAATCATCTTTCCAGAGGATGACAGGCTTAAAAACAAGCACTAGGAACTCAAAAAATCAACTGCCTCCTCTGTCCCTTGATTCCTGATGTCCCACACAGTTTCTGATCCCTGAAGAAAATATTCAAGCCAACACCATGCGACAAAGCAAGCCCCAATTAATTCCCTGTGCATACCTACAGATGCAATAAGCCATTTAGTTCTCCTGATGTTGGTATGTACGGCTGTTTAATTAAAAATACACCAGTCACCTGAAGTAATTCCTTGGACACAGTCTCATATTCCTGAAGTGAGTTTAAGCAGCAAGGGTGACACTCTGTAACCCACCCCAGCCACCACGAGTTACCAGCGTCCATCCAGCTGGTCAAAGACACGGGAAAATTGGGCATTAAACAAGAAATTGTAATTTTAAATAACTCCTTAGTGAGAATTCCTGTTTCACTGCAAAGCCAACTGCATCTCATCTGCGTGTACAGAATCAAGTATCCCTGTGGCCAAAACTATACAAGACAGAGGGGCACAAAGCCCCTTGATTTTTCAGAGACCAAACCTATACTTATAAGGCAAACTCCTCAACACGTCTCGCTGAAAATCCACACTAAAACCCCAACCACCACCGCCGTCTCCGTTCCCTCCCCCCACTCTTCAGCACGGCAGTTCATTCCTGTGAGGCAGACATTGCGTGATCCTTTCGGAAGGACAACCGGTGCCGTGTCCCGGTGTTATCGATGCTGTGGAAGCGGTGACAGCTGCCGGGGGGGTTGTACAGTGAGGGTGAGACGCAGGGACAGTCGGGATCGGGAGGATGCCGGGTGTGCAAAGCCGTCGCGGTGGTACCTGACTCCTTTGGGACCGGCTCTAGTTCTCCCATCACCACCGTTTTCTCTTCCTCTTCCTCCTTCTCTTCAATCGGGCTTACCTCAACACTGCCAAGAGCACGTTTGGCTAAAAAAGTTACGGATGGGTTAAAATGCCACCTCGAAGATGAAGCAGCAAAGGAAACACTGCCAGTAGTAAAGCTGCACGGCCACCTCTCTTTAGGGACTCCTGCTTCTCTCACAGTGCTTCATAGGATCCAAACACACAGCAAAAATAACAACAGCTACCAAGCTTTTCCTCTGCCATTCAACGATGAGCTCTGTGCTGTCCAGAACTGCTTTATTTCAGCTACATTTTCTTGACCTTTGCCTATTTTGACACCTGATGGTTTAAACTCAGTAACAAGCACTGCTCCAAAAGATGAGATATAAAATATCAATCATCCCCCTGGTGAAGAAAATGGTCCCTATTGGGAAAATACGCATCAAGAGGAGGAAAAAGTGCAGGAGGCGGACGAGGGGAAGGGGCAGCCGTGGCAGGAGATCCCCCAGATGTGCTCAGGTCTGACAGTGGCTGACGTCCGCTCTGCTGCAGCCGTCCCATGGGATATCCTCGAGTCCGAGCACAGGGGCTGGCTGGGTGGTTTTTATCATAATCAAGAAAACAGGTGAAGCTCCCAGTTACCTCCCTCCACAGCTCCAGTCTCTCTCCCTGCAATGACTAATGAACGCTGCTTTTAATTAAAACTGGGGTGGATGTGTCTGCAGCAGTGAAGTTGCTCTGAAACTCCTTCCCAACCAGGGAAGACGCAGGCTCTCTAGTGAAGAAATAAAGCAGAGCGCAGGTGACCTCCAGCAGTCCTGGAACAACAACCTGATTTTCAGGCACCGCATGTTCCTACAGCTCAGGGGAACGAACTTTACGAGAAGGAACAGCAGCAGAGGAGGGTTAAGAGGCCACTGCACACCCATTTCAACACGCAGGCACACAGCCAAGCCGCGGCACGGCTCCTCATCGCACCCAGGGGCCCTGAGAAAGCAGTGCTCGCTATAGCAGCACACTTGCAAAGCCGAGTGCGATTTTTAGTGGCAACGAACACCACAGCAAACGGTGCAACCTCCATCCTGCAGCACTGCAACCCCGCGGGTCACAGCACGGGCGGCTGCGAGAGCCACACCTGCGGCTGTACCTGACCGCGTCCGCAACGGCTCCGGCAACTTTGGCTTGGAAACGGGAACCTTAAACACCTCTACTTTCTGCTCCTCCTCTTCTTCCTCTGCAATGGGTTTCATGTCAAAAGTCTCAAGAGCGTGTTTGGCTAGAAAGAGGTTTGCATGCGTTAAGAGAGCGGCGGGAGAACCGCACGGACACACAGCGCTCACCGCAGCAGAGGAAAGAGCGAGAGGAGATCCCTCTCCAAGGCAGCGGCTGAGGACAGCAAGGAGGGCTTTAAACCAGGCAGCTTAACAGTGATTTTTCACTGCTCAATTGCATATGGGTCTTTTTAGGGCTGTCAGGCCCAAGAGTGCATTGGATGAGAGGGGAAAAGAACGACACGAGTCAGCTCTGCAGGTTCTGGCCTTTGCAAACGGCTCTCGAGCGCGGTACCAGGATGGGCTCTGTGCTGGCTGGGAAAATCCAGGAAAAACACCCCCAGGCTCCTCTAGATAAAAACCTACATGAAAACCAGCAGCTGTAATTAAATGTACTTGAGTGATCAACTTCAAATCTAAAACTTAAGAACATACAGCCGTATACTCTGGTGTTATAAACGCTAACTCTCCTGTTTTTACAGCATCAAACCTCCCAGGCAACACTGACCAGAGAGGATTCGAGGCAAGACAGTGGTGGGGACACAGTCTGCCACGCTACTTCATGAAAGCTTGATCCAGATTTCATACTGGCAAAACAGGGATGTCAAAAGCACACCAAAAACTCAGCACAGAAGGGAAGTGGAGCTGCACACAATGCATTTGCATCCAAATTATCTTCAGCCCTAACGCACCACAGGCAAAGACTGCAAATGTTTGACAACACTGCTGCTGTGATGTGCTTATTAGTAGTCAAATATGCTGTTGTACCTACGGACCTCTTAAGGGCATTAATATTTATTAATAGTGCCTATCTTAAACAGAAATATATGCTCCATGTGGCAAAATGGGTTGCATTTCTCAACCCCCCCCAAAAAATCCAGAATAGGCTTATAAAATGGCAAGCAGGTCCCGGGATGAAGAATTTCAGAAGCTTTACAAGAAGTTTCAAGATCAAACTTTAAAGTTTTCTCATCTGCATTTACAGAAAGACCCAAATTTAATAAGGACGCAGCTCTCAAGTGCCAGCACATCCTAAACTGTTCCCCACCTCCCCACAAGAATTACAGTCTAATAAGGTGCAAGGTGGAAATTTAAGGAGTCTCCCAGAGCCGGGCTCTGTCCGTCCTCTGCCCGTGAAACTCTTCGTGCAAAGAAACGAAAAAGAAAGCCGCCGGATTTGGTGAAACTTGGAGTTTACAAGCATGTAAAGGATAGGAAAGGCGCTGCAGAAGAGTTGTAGCCACCACCACAGCTATACCTGGCTTCTCTCGGATCTGATCCATGGGTTTCGGTTCGGGAACCTCAACCACCACCACCTCCTCCTGCTTCTCTTCCTCTACGGCTCTGAACCCAACCTTATGAGTCGCACGTTTAGCTGAAGAAACGGGGCACATGTTAACGACTGCCCACACAGCAGACGGGAAAAGGCTGCAGGCTTCAACGGGGACAGAAGCGTTACATTCACAGGCTGCTCTTTCCAAGCTCTGACATGCGGGATGGCAGTGGGGATTTCTCTCCTCATCTGGGCTGGGAACGGGCTACAGGGCATGGCCAAGGGGCAACCAACAGCACTGGTCCCCTCGCCTGCGTGCATCGTGCCTGGGTAACCTCACATGCATGGACTGCAGGGAAGCGGGCATTTGGCTTTGCTGCATATGGAGCTTAAAGCACGCAGCTCTTCCCTCGGGGCTCTGAGGCTGGGGGTGTTGTTAAAGCCCCATAAACCCATGCCAGGAGAGGGGCAGCCTGGCTGGGGTGCTGGGACCTTGGGGCTCAAAGCAACGCTGTTCCTGCTCCATCAGATGACCTCGGTGCAAAGGGATGCTCCACTTTCCCTGAATCCTAATTTTACAAGCATCCCATAACTCAGATGAAGGGCAGCAAATGTAGGCGCTCTCCTTCCATGCCTCAGCTCCTCTAACCTGCTACTATCCAGCTCTTTAAAAAATGTCAGGGATGAGCCCACCTCATTGATATGCTACAAACTTTGCTGTTAGCATCGCTTTAACCGATGCTGAAAAAGTTTCAAACAGTCCTGGCAAAAAATCTCCCCCTCAAAGAAATTTAGGAAGCTACGTTAAATAAAACAAATCCTAGAATAGCATAATTCCTGATCTGCTAAAAGGAAAATGCATTGAGATTGAACGAGGAAATAACTTTACAACCAGACCTTTGCCATCAGCCTTCAGCACCCACCTACATCCTTTTTGTCAGCTCTTGCTAGTACTGCTATCAGTTTGTGTTTTATACCAAGGCCTCGTATAAAGTGAAAAGTTATGCTTTTTTTTTTAAAGCGGGGAATTTAGGGATTATTTAAGGAGTATTTCAGCATGAAGAGGACCAGACACTCACCTCCATCCAGGCTCCTGGAGGCTCGCTTACTTGCCGTCCGCTCGAACTGGGGAGCGGGTCGGTCGATCAAGGCACTCGCCTGCCTCGTCTGCGCCTGCGTCCGGCCGCTGTAGCGGAATTTGGAGCCCAGCGCCAGGAACCTGCTCTTCGGGATGGCCTCGGTGGACGTCAGCCTGAAAAGCACACGCACAATTAAAAATCATACCTCCGGATACAGGAAGTGGGCAGGTAAAGAGAAATTAAGACACAAATTAAAGAAGTCTTCATTAACAAATCAACATACACTAACAATGAGCCTCACATCTACACAAGCTGCAGGACCTCTGTCTAATGTATCTTATGAAGCAGAAGCTGCCTAAAAATTTAGTACAATATAAATACTTAATGCTTCTGCGACCAATTCACCTCAAATTTTGTGAAACACCTTCAAAGCACCAAGGAGCACGGAAGGAGAGCTCATTTTCAGCAGCTGATCTAAAGCATTATCCAAGGTGAGCCTACCATTTAGAAAACCCACCTGAAAAACGTGTGATGCTCAACACACACTTTCCACAGCTTCTTCGCCGCCCGGTAACTTGGTAGCTTGAACCCAATTGTACTTTCATACTGTTCTTGCTGCAGAAAATAGAAGTTATTTAGGTATAGCAAGAAATAAATGTGGTAGGAATTCAGTTCCCAGCCCATCAACCTGTTCTGCTGCAGCACAAACTGCTGGCCGAGCCCAAAATCAGCTGAATTCAGCCCATGAAGTGCAGGAGGAGCTCAGGGCTGAGGAAAGACAGGGTTTGCCCCCAAGCCCGGGCATCTCTCAGGATAAATTGGGATTTCCAGAGGAGCATGCTGTGGGTTTTGCAGCCATTCAGACTTATTTAGCTCCAAATCACGCTGCCCAGGTCAAACAGGTCCAAAAATTGACCTTTCAAGGCTGGTCATGGCAGTCAAACCAGGAGGGAGGAGAGGAGCAAAGAGACAGAACCCCACTACAGTTTCTCTCCCCACTGCGTTTCCAGCAGTTGAGCTGCTCCAGGGATCTCCTCATTCACAAGAGGCAGCGTCGGGGCAGCCACCCCCTGCCTGCTGCAGTCCGAGTGATAAGGTACGTGTATTTGTACTCGAATATTTTTTAAGGGAGACAAAAGAGCCTTTGTCTTGCCCAGTTTCCAAATAAAGGAGTTTGTCCTCTCCCAGTTTCAACTGTGAACTTCCCATCGCTTTCCTCTGGATGCTGGGAATACCACACGGTGCCAGGAGGTGGTGCTGGATGACACCTTGTTTAAATTGCCACCAGCCTTTTTATAGCTTCAGCAATGTCAGCGGGCTTTATCTGAACTTAATAACAAGATCAGCAGCCCAACTGAGTGTAAAATGCCCATTCAGAGGAAAGCTTGCTCCCTACTCTGCTTTGCTTTAGTGAAGCACACAGGTTGGTGATAACCAGAAGGCAATTAAAGAAGACACGAGCACACAGAAGACAGAACGAACCTCCCCTGGACGAATCTTAATAAAGAAGCTGCTGCGTTTGTAGGAAATCTTCAGGACTTTGGGCCACGGGAAGCGGTTGATTCTCAGCTTATCTTTGTAAACAAAAAGGCCACTGGAACAGACTCCCAGAGTGATGTCCACTCCTTCCAAGTCCTGGGAAAGCAGACGAGGATTTAAAGAGTGTCAGAAATACAACGCCTGTCCCCCAAATTACCCCTTTGGTCTACCCCTGAGGCTCTCCTGAATTCATCTCTGCACCCCCAGCCCTCAGCCTCTGTCTCCCTGTCTCTGCCTGCCCTTCCTCCGCGTTTCTCCTCACAGCCTCCTCCCTCCTGCAGATCTCTCCTGTGATGCTGTTTGTTCCAGAGCCCATCCTGCATTTCTCTGAGCAGAGCGGCTCACCTTGCAGGGTCAGAGCCCAATTCTAAGTTCCTCAGCGCAAGGACCTGTCTACATCAGCAGCTTTGTAAAGCTTCCCGTAATATATAAATAATAAGCAAGCAGGAAGAGTCACTTCTCTTGCAACAGCGCTCGAGGCATTTCTGTTGAGTGTTTGTGTGTCTGTACTTCATATAACTTTCTAAAGGAGTCTCCTGAAATAGGGAGGCTTGTTCCTGCAAGGGAATTATAATCAAATTACAAAATCCACAGGCAGAAGCGCACACGCCGATCCTCACCTTGGCTTGGTGAAGGTCGACGCCGTACATGGAGAGCTTTTTTGCATTCTCAAGAAATTCCAGGTCTGCTTGGGCTGGAGTCATGGACCTGGGGAAACAGAGAAAGGGCTTGGGATTGTCAGAACTGTTGCTTTTAGGAGGGGACAGATGAGATTTCACAAAACCATTTACTCATTAAGATTTTCTTTTGCTTTGTGCCCAGATAATGAATTTTTAAATTACTCTGAATGCACAAATTAGTGCTTCGAGAAAGCAGATGCACCTTATTTCTGTGGAGTGGTACAGACTCCAGACAATAAAAAAAGCAAATTCCTGGGAGAGGAAGCGCGGTGCAGGGTACAGAGCCTGACTCAGTGGAGGAACCATCAATTCGGCCAAAGGCAGCGGGTGACAGGTACCGTCCCCCCAGACCCCCTGCCTGCGGACCCCCCCAAGCTCTGCTATTGTTCTCCAAAGCAAAGCAGGGACAGCTGAGACCCCTCAGCAGCGATTCCTACAGGGGCAGAGCAGATGAATGAGGCATTTTCCGGGAACAGATGGTACCCAGTCTGCGGGAGGGGCAACACAGCGCAACTTTGCTTAACAGAAACATCCCGATAATGGGGGCTATTATCAACGTTATTGAAGTGCCCTTGTTAAGACTGTTCTGGTGTCTGAGGTACATCCAACAGCTCTGCTGGGAGGGTATTTGGCTGCATACATTTCATTTTGTTCCCCGCTTTGATGTCTTTCTTACCAAGTGTTCACATGTGTCTCGTGTGCGATGTAAATAAGAGGTTTTAGTGGTGGAGACAGGGCAGACAAAGGGGACTGCAAGGACAAACCTCTAGGAAAGACGCAGGAGCGGTCGCCACGTCCAAATTTCCACGCTTTGCAAGGAAAGCAGCCAGAGATGGAGCACGGTTCA